GCCACCCCCAAACCCGACACCGGAACGAAATTCCGCACGCCGCAAGAAAAACAAAAACAACGAAGGTCTCTCATCGGGGAGTCCCACTTCTTGCGCGTCGATTCCGACAACCACGACCACCTCTCTCACCCCCAATTAGCACCGCAGACTGCTACCGTTTATTTTTTTATTTTGTGTTTCTTTTCATTATTTTCTATCCACGAGGATATTGAAAGAGTTCTTGTCTCACTCCCGACTCGATGCTCTCCAACCCTTTTGTTTCGATTCTCCGAAACGGAATCGATGAAAAGGTGTGCAAACAATTAGTCAGCGCGAGGGGGGCATTAATTAAAATCCGTGAAAAACAATCGACGATCGGTTCATTTCAGTAACAGCCCGATTCGTTGTTTATTTTTTTTTGTTGTTTTCCCGCACGTCGAATCGATGTTTTGTAATTGGGATGCGTTAATTGTGAAAACCTCTGAAAATGAGATCGGGCAAAATGTACCAAGAGAGAAAGAAAGGGCACTAATAAACGCGAGAGAAAGAGATAATGTTAAAGGAATGCACAGTAAATCATATAAACACGATTCGTGACCCCTAGGTGTTATCTCGATCCGGTACTATCGTTTGACGAAAGGCTATTAATTTCGAAACACTCGCATTACAAATTGAATTTAGTGAGAGGCGTTTTCTTTTCATTACATTTTCCTCAACACGACTCGCATTGAGATGCGCCACAATGAACCGTTTTCAACTTTTCATTTCCTCATCCTCGTAAACCTTCGTTCTTCCATGTTTATATTTCCTCCATTATTTCATTCATTTACATTCTTTACATTGTCTGATACTAGTACAGAAAGTTACCCATCCAAGTACTGACATTTACAAATGCTGTTTAACTTTCATAAGTCGTCTCGAGATCCAATATGTATACTTCCTACAGTGAATTGCGTAAATATATTTACTCTTCATATAATTTCTTAATTATTTGATAAACTAGTCTTTAAGTATATAGTATTTGTTTGTAATTGGTAAAAGGAGCCGATCACCCATCCAAGTAATATCATTAACAAACGCTGTTTAACTTCCATTGTTTCAATATGTAACTCCTATGTAAATACAGTTACACAAATTGAGTTATTATAATAATTACGTTTACCGCGACGCAATCGTAAACATGTTAATATTTCAGACAACTCTCAATTAAATTGTACACGCTTGAAACAACAAGAACGCGTTTTACTTGTTAGACGCCGAAGAAGAGTGTAAAGAGGAAATGGAAGACGATAATGTTATGATTAACATGGACAGGTCAATACACTTTAATAATGAAAATGTTTATTTTAATCATATTGATTGTTTGGTCTGCATGTAAAAGAATATATTTCCTCTACGTTACACAAACAAAACAGCAAACAACAAAATAAACTTTGAACATTATTCCTGTTTATTATATTATTCACAAAACGAAACATGGAAAAACAACAATTATAGGTATAAAAATAGAAACTGTAATCGATGAAACGAAGTCCTTACATAACTGCGTTAATTGTCTTGTCGTTAATTTAACTTGTCTAATAATAGAATCGTTATCGGAGACAGTAGAAAAACTTGAAAAGGAATTGAATGTGTAACCAAGAAAAAAAATAAAGAAAAATGACACATCCGCAATTTTATGTTGATTTATTTTTGTCTCTTAGTATGTTCATTTATTTTTGGGTGTCGATTTTATTGCCCGCTTGAGCACAAGAAGCAGTTTGTTCTTCGGCTCCAAGAGGGTTGCGAGAGGCGGGAGGAAACCGCGACATCTGGCCTCAAGAAGTCCGGCCTGCATAAACAGATAATAAATCCTTGTTTTCGCAAACGACACGATCTTTGTCCGCAAATAATAAAAGTGGAGATTTAAGGCTTACATTTTATTCTCGATAATAATATAGAAAATATATAGAGAGAAGAGTGCAAATAGTTAAAGCATAATTGATGTTTTTTTGCAACGAAAAGCCAAATATAGATTAGATAAAGGTGTCAATCCTGTTATCGAGCCTGCATCTCGCTTTCGCGTGTTCCTCTGACAGATGTCCGTCCTTATTTGCGCAAACCGCTCAGATAAATGGGCCGAGATAAGGATTGCTCTCCTCCAACGCTCTTCGCACGATGCAAGCAAGGATTTATCAACAGCGAAAATATGCTTGCAGCCACAAGTAGGGATTTTCCACGTTTTTCCATCAATCATCTCGAAAACTCGACGGAGGCAACGAAAAAAAATAATATATATATATACGTATTATATGTAGCAGAAGTGAAATTTGATATTTTTTTAATATTTTCCACATCCTTCACGAACCCCCGAAGTAGACCACACGCTGCGACCTTAATCAATCACCGACTATTTGGGGATGTATTAAATGAAACGATGCCGTGCAATCCATTTTCGAGAGTTTGTGCAAATTCCGCAAATCCCATTACGGACCGATCCATTTCGATATTACTTTATCTTATTCTCTCGCATACGATACATAATATATAAACGTTAGTATACATTAAGGGCAGGTTATTATTATAAACATGGCAATGAGAAATCCTTATGTTGCAAATTTGCTTGTATATCTTGCAATAGAACCACGTGAACTCAGTAAATATTACATTAAGTAAATGCATTTGCAACCACTCAAATATTAAACTTTAACATTTTCACTTAGTCCGGTTTAAAAATATAAAAAAACAAAATTTTAATTGAGCAAAATAAAAATTGTAAAAAATTTGTACCTACATTTTTTTTATACATAAATGATCGGTACATAGAAATCATAACAAAAAAAAATATAAACTGTAACAAAGTGAATACAGGAATTTCCGCCCTTTGAAATTATTTTACTTTCCTAGTTAATTCAATAAACTTTTTTTATTTCAATTATTAAACAATACAAATATTTCCTATGAAATTGTTAACTGCAATTTGACAGTTCACAAATGTATGAAAAATCATTTACAAATATGAATATACAAATTGTATACAAATAATAAACAAAATTTCGTTGTTTCGTTCAAAAACTTTATTTTAATTTTGCTATTATGAAAATTAATTTTCATATTTAGTTGACACTTTGCTGTTTCAATTGTTTAGTTACAGACAATTGCAACACTTGGAAGAGTAACTATTTTATATTGAGTTGATAGTTTCACTAAAATCTTATTCATTTACTACGCTTAAAGTTTAAATACTTTATCTTATTTTCTTGCATGAAACTATATAAATTTGAATCGTAATAAGAATACTCATGATGCAAATATACTTGAATGATTCTAAATATAATGGATTTTATTGAATACTAGGTTAATACAACAACCCGTATATTGGATGATAACCATACAATAAGCGAACATTCCGCACTGTGCGTGCGTAATCGCACTTGTAATGATAGCGTTTACATGAATTGCCTACTTTTCAACTGTTATGACAAGTACAAAACATATCGCTCTTCTTTCACTAGAGATTACAACGAAACTCCAGTTAATCGCCCTACATGTTCGCAACAAAACAAAAAAATACTATAATCAATAAGTTTTCTTAACTTTTCAACAACAGAACTAATTACCGGAGAATGGTTAAAACATGTCTTTCAGTACGCGTCTGCTCTCCATTCCATAACATAAAAATGAACGAGTTGAAAACACTCTCGCTTTCCTCCGCAGCGCGTTATTTAATCTTCTTCTTCCTTCTGTATGCTTCCACTTCTTTTTTTTTTCTATTACTGTTACCCGGCATTACGAGCTGGAGACGGAGAAAAGGCCGAGCAGATCGGAATCTCTCCATTAATTAGCCCGAAATCTCAACACTTCACGAAAAGATTCGCCCCGGATAAAAACTAATTTACGGAAAACTTTCGCTAGTCCAATTTCCATTTACATATTTTCCCCGAAAAAAATATTTAAAAAAAAACTTCCTCCATCCGCAAAACAAAAAGAACGGAGAACATCATTTTGCTTCATCGAAAACGCTTGCGAAATATCGTTTTATCGAACCATCCGAATTGCATCACCTCTCAAGGATTTCGATAAACGATTATTTTAATGGTCTATTACTCATGTTTTTTTTTTACTAAAAAAAATATATTCTCGTAAGGTTGGGAAACATTTTAACAGGTCTTCGGGATGCTATTAACAGGTAGATTATATTGTTCGAACCTAATTCTTTGAACCCAAAGTTCTGGTCCAGTTGCAGCAAAAAAAAAAAAATGTAATTTTAAGACTTGTTAAGATGTACTATTTTTATCGTGTTTCGCATTTGCTCGACGCGTTTATTATGCAGCTTTTATGAGTTGTTTCTCTTGTGTACGGATCCTGCCTTTCTATTAGACGCTGAATGACAAAGGTCATCCTCGTTTTTGTATACAGTTTTAGCTCTAAATAACTAGTAACAAAAATGTGGTTATAGAATTTTGCGTCGATTAAAACGTCAGAAATTCGTTATTAATTGCCGTATTCTTTGACTTGTTTTCGCTAGAGGCAACTTTGGACTTTACTTTTTGCGCTAAATCATTGTAAATAATTCATCGAATTGGCTTTTAAGATCACGTTCATCTAAACGTATACGTTTTTGCGGTCTCTCTTCGTGGTTGATTTTTTTTACCTAGGTGACACATAAGAAGTGTTACCTAAGAAAACCCAAGGTTTTGAAGAGCGCGGTAAACTGATAATGGCGTGATAACAAGAATCCATTACAAATATTTGCCGGTCTCGCAAAACGACGCGTTTTATTTGAGAAGATGAGAAGAATGCACGAGAGGCGTACTTTTTTTCTTCTGTTTTTCCTCGAACCCAGGTCCTTTCACCTCAAATACCAGGTAGTTTCGACAGGCAGAAAAAATCACTGGGAACAAAACTCCGGCAGGTAATTACGCGAAATATGCAACGTATTCGATTCGTCTGAGGACAACAACTGTAGAAGACGTCGATGACAACAACACAACTTCCAATTCCATTCCGACAACCCCTAGAATATATGGCTCGAATCTCACCTTCTTCCCATCGCGAAACTTGACGGTGCCTTCGATCACGGAAGTGGTATCCATATTCTCTTTTAACCAGTCGCAATCAGACACATCACAACTTAACCATCACTTATCTAACAAGTAAATCCCCAATTAGAGTATTATTGAAATGCCACCACCAATCAAAAACAAATTCACAAACTTTTCAACGTGTTTTCCTTCGTATTGAAGACGCTCGCGCGCTTTCGCTCCGACGTCGGACGTGACCACTCAAAGGACGAAAAGGAACTGACGGAGCGCGCGACGCTCGGCCCAGAGTCCTGCCCCACGTTCGGCGCCATTCGGAGATCGTCGCTTTTCTATATATTTTTTTAATTTATTTTCTAAAATGGAAATGTACTTGCATAAAAGATTACCGAGTCATTGTTACGTGCGTTTATGTTTTTTTTTTGTTGTTTCCTTTTTGAAACAAGGAAAAAAAAATCGTAAAGAGTCGCAGAAACGCAATGAAAAGAGCAAAAAGCACTTAGCTCGAGTGAGATTTCCGAAGATGATAATGGATTGGACGCGGGTTTTGCGCAAACGACCTACAAAATCTCTCACTCACCGCTATTTGCATGCAGTTACATAAGTTTTTTTTTTTCGCAAACCACCAGAGGACTATGCTCATAACGATTATCGTCGTTGTGCCAACTGCTAAAAGTGAACAAATTAAGTTCAATCGCAGTTTCAAAATGAAATACCACAAATGTTTGCATGAAATGGGTTAATAGTAAATAGTATTAACAAACAAACAAATTTTGTCGTGGTTTTTTGGAAGGTGAATAACCAGTTTGTAAGTGTTTTGTAAATTTGAATAAATATCTAAATTGCTGTTATTTTTGACGCTTGTATTTGGGTATTTCTAAAAATTTGGGAAACATTAATGCACCGCACGGAGTTATGGTAAAATTCGCTTCCTTTTCTCAACGCTCGCAAAGTTTACGAGACTCACATCCTGGTGATTTTGTATTCATTAGATTGCTTATTTTTTTTTAACTATATGCATTTCTCCCATTTACAAAGAAAAAGAAACGTGAAATTTCTTTCGTGACGCTTTTTAAAAACATAACGCACTTTCACAATTATTATAACATTGCATGATCATTGCTTTATGTAACAAAAGAACAAATTGAAGATACATTCACGCTGTTCATAAGTATAGCAATACCTTGCATAGTCTGGTTCGACCAATATACCGGACTAATCGAGGAACCAAAAAATAAATTTGACTAATAAACTGATAATTTTTGTGTACGAAAATACTGTTGTGTTCTAAATTTAATTTGCTCTATTTACATTAAAATTGTGATATAGTGAATCCGGATCGAAGCCGGAATAAGTGGGATATTGTTATATAAACAAAATACGATTTTCGTCTATTAACGTTTCAAGGTTTTTGTTTTACGTTCTAGTCATATTATTATTCTCTGGTTAATAGATACTAATTTCAAAGTACATCGCAAAAAGCAAGTTATGAAAATGAAGCAATTATTGAAAAAAATAAGTAAGCTAAATTTAATTATATGGAATGATTTTCTAGTAGATTTTTTTATAAAGTAAAAAAACATTACGTACATAGTTATTGACCACAACCGCTTTGAAGAAAAACAAATGACTATGTAACATAAAAAAACACATCCTAGCCAAATCTATTATATAAGATTAATACTAATTATATTTTGTTTGTTTATACATTTATTATGAAACAAACATAATTAGAACAATAGTTAAAGAAAACTTAATCCAACAATATAGTAAGTAATTTATGAAAAATATATTTAGTTAGATATATTATGTAGTATTTACATTCTTATATTTTTTGTTTAATGTTATATAAAATGTAAGAAGTATAATTATCCGTCAGGTATGCCAACTATTATGTACATATGACGTCAATTAGACCTGTCAGTTCAAATAAACAATAGTAGTTTGTACGTTTGATATATATTTATATATTACGCAAAGGTTGGTAGATAAGATTAACTAATTGAGTAATCTAAGTAATATCGACAATGTTGTTATACATAAAGTAACTATTGGAAACTAATGAGTGTTTTTGATGCTTTAAGTATTCTTCTATTCCAAGCAACATTGGATCTTCTAAATCGGTGGCAATCGCAAGCCCGATTAAGTTTTAGATTGTCGAGATTTTGATTGTCGGGATTATGGTAGTCGGGATTTTGACATAGTCGGGATTTCGATATAGTCGGGATTTCGAACGTCGAGATTTTGAGCGAGCCGGGATTTCGATACACTCGGGATTTCGAACGTCGGGATTTCAATAGTCGGTCTTTCGGTTGTCGGGCTTGCGATATAGACCCCTTCTAAATAGATGCAATCGATGGCGTATTTTCATGTAAGAAAATAAAAGTAAAACAAAAAGTCAATTGCCGCTAAGGGCCATTGACCTTTCGAAATATAATATGTTTATATAATAAAAGAAAGAAATTTCAATATAATTGTTCTTATATATATAGCAATGCAATATATATACAAAAATCTGCACAAATAGACTTAACGATCATTTATATACTAAAAAATTATTTTACGTAATAATAGTGAACCGGACTGTAGTGAATCCGGATTGATCGAAGCAGCATTATGCGAGGTATTGATTGTATAAAATTTAGTAAAATAATTTTGCGTTTTAATAGTGAACCGGACTATAGTGAATCCGGAATGATCGAAGCAGCATTATGCGAGGTATTGATAAAATTTAGTGAATTAATTTTGCAAACATTTTTTTTCAAAGTTAAAACTATAATAAATATTATTTCATGGTTCATATTTTCCTTTTTTTTTTCAATTCCAAGTAATTTATGTTATTGTGTAGCTTGTTATAATTGATTATTACCTGCATACAGTTCTATATTTCCGGTATATAATCGAATTTTATGAGCAATCTGCCACGCCGATTTCACGCAGACCTTTTAACACCTGGCATAGCATTTATTGGCTTGTATTATTTTGAGCGCGAGCGAAATTGTACGGGGGGGCTATTGACACCTTCCACGCCATATAATTTTACCTACTCGAACTCGTTTTGACACGAAACGTCCACCTTTATAACACCACTATTATGAGCGCCAACAAGCTAACCAAGTCACCAGACAACAATGATAAAACGAGAGAAAGCACACTCGAAACACTAAAAATGTACCTGCTTTGTTAGAGAAGAAGATGATCCTATTTTTATTGCTATTATTTCTCTCGAATCGTCTTTCTCTAACGCACTACAAGGATAGCTAGGTTTATGGTTAAAGAATGATACATTTAGGACTTTCCTTATTTGGGTTAACCGAAGGTTAACCCATACCTATTGAAAAGAGAAATAACATTTTAAATTGATATCCATTTATATTCATATGGGATTTAAGGATGGTTTCTATAATAAATTATGTTTATCGAAGCATCGGAACGGCAATGCGCCTCGAGTTGCCTGGTAACCGCAAAGTCTTTCCGCAAAACTGTTGATGATACCGTTACCATTCTTTAAATATGTTTAAAGTTCATGCACTCTCCATTTGACCACATGTTAAATGATTTTTAGTAGAACATATATTTTAATAAAATTTTAATTAGAAAATAATTGTTAATCAAATCAATTATGTAAATGTAATAATTGATTGTAATTAATGCAATGTAATTGCTTAAAGACACGAAGATGACTCAGATATCATTGGTTGTTCAGAGTCTATTGTAATTCAATCGGAAGTGTTCTTTCAAAGAGTCCAATCTTAATTAGTTGAATTCAGTTTGTTAACTTCCTCATTCACGTAGTATATTTGAAGACTGAATATGGTTACTATAAAAAGATTTTACTATAAAATCATAATACATTCATATATATTTTTTATGTAATAACATATATTATAATTAAATTTATTGCGATACATGATTATTGTGTAGAAATAGATTTCGATACATGATTACAAAAAAAAACACTAATAAAAGTATATGAATCTTTGCACCGGAGATCTTTATATAACATACCAATAATATCTTAATCGTGATTTTATGTTGTGAAGTATTATTACCTACAAATTCTTTTTGTTGAAGAAAATTTCTTTTCTATTGACGTGGTATTTCATCTCTATGTAATTTGTGTTTGCATATTTTGTGTTACTTGTTTCAATTTGACATAGTTTATTACCACTTATACAAGTAATATGCAGAAACTGATATAAATTTATTAGTTTTTAATATTTATGAATATTCTTATATAAGTTTCCGTTAAATTTTGATGGATATTTGTCATACAAATAAAATACAGTAAGGAGGCTGGTGATGTTTAGTTCTGACTATTGACAGAAAATATTTCACAATTATTTACAATAGATGGAGGATTTTGACATCATTTACAAGAGTTGATTTTGTTGTTTTATTATTTTAAGATAGATAATTTTTAAGGGATTACATAATTTTAGGATTCCACATTTCACACTGAAAACAACGCTTCACGGTGCAACGATGTCTCCAGAATTTCGAGGAGACCGGATCGAATCGTCGAGGTTTTGATAGATATTTGTGCGGGTCCAGAACTGTGAAGGAGTTAAGGAGCTCGGTACAAGAGAAGGTTGCTGTTCTGAAGAAGCAGAAGTTGGAGTTCTTCCTCTCCGGAAAAGTTTATATTTGTATTTCGTACGCGGCTTACTAAATTAACAAAATATATTTTGATTTTAAATACAAAGATTAGTATTATTTAAGTAATTGAGATTATATCTTCCTTCTACTTCCGGTTTCAAACAATGCCTCCATCTATGAAGGGCCAGGTTAAATTTAGCTGCGTCTTGTCGACACCTGTCACTAGTCAAAATTTCTTTAATTTGTATAGTTGGCACTTTTGGATACATTGCACATTGTGTGTAATAGTTTCACTACCCGTTTCTATCATAATCAATCAATGACTACTAACTAAACCATGGGTGCCCAACTCAAAACGTTTGGTTGACAAAAAAAATTACTGATCTTAGGTGGGCCACACATATACTAAAATAAAACAAAGAACTTATTAAAAATATTTTGTTATATTATAGTTAATATGACATTTCATTTTGTACACCAAAATTCTAAATATAAAATGCTGAAAACTTCAATTGGGCAGCGGGTTGGACAATCCTGAACTAGATGTTATTACATTAAATTGGGTAGCTTGGGTATACCAACCAATCTGACACATATGTTTCATATTCGCATAGTATAAATAAATGATTATAATTTACTATATTTTTTAAATATATTTTAAAATAAACCTTT